GATTCTTCAGTTGTCTTTCTACAGGGAAGTCACTCTGTAGACCCATAGGGCAGCGATAGAATATGTGATTGAAGAAGAGGAGGCAGGAAGAAGTGTCAGGCCGGAGTCGATCCCATAGTGGAATTTAATTGGCTCAATTTAACAGAGTGTGAAAGAAACCACTCAGAACCACTTCGCTGAATAGATCCCGAACCCGCTTCAATGTGTAATCTTTTTCATATAAAACTGCACCGACCACCACAGGAAACAGAGCCGGAGTGGCGTGCGGACCCCTGGGAGCCGACCCCCCCCCGGTAATAGATGGGCCTGTGTGTGTGTGTCTGCGTCACAGCGGCCGACCGAGACTTCCACAGCGAGTCCTTTATACTTAACAAATGCAGCGCGGAGAAAGAGGCTGGCAGAGCCGCTGTGACAGGCGGAGGACGAGAGGCCTCTCGCCGCTGGGGGATTAATGGAATGCGAGCGTTGCAGTTTTGTGAGGTGGCTGCGAGGAGGATCGTGGGAGCAAAGCAGGCAGGGGGGAGACGAGGGACTCAGAGGGAGGAAGGTCTGCGGATGCTTCGTCTAGAGCAGGGGTATTCAACTAAAATGTAAAGAGGTCCAGTTGGAGCCGTTCTCGTCCTCACATGGAGGAGCTCATTAAGCCTCACCCGTCACCTGTCACCCGTCACCCTTAGCCTCACCTTTCTCTCGCTTTCTCCTTCCTTTTCTCAAATTTCGCTATCTTTGATATTTGCCGCTACCTCTCTCGTCTGTCCGCAGTATTGAGACAATATCGTCATCCTGCCTGGAGAGTATCAAAGCTGATACAGATGTTCTTTAACCCTTAAAGGTTGTTAAATTCAAGACTTTTAAGACCTTTTCAACACCTCATAGAATCAAACTTTCATCCCGCTGGTCAACGTAGTAGAACGGAGAACCGGGAGACAACCTGCCTTCAGCTGCTTTCAAAGGCCACCAGGGGGCGACTCCTCTGCTCCCATAGACGTCTATGAGGAAATGACTCTACTTCTCTGTAGTGACCAGCAGGGGGCGACTCCTCTGCTCCCATAGACGTCTATGAGGAAATGACTCTACTTCTCTGTAGTGACCAGCAGGGGGCGACTCCTCTGCTCCCATAGACGTCTATGAGGAAATGACTCTTCTTCTCTGTAGTGACCAGCAGGGGGCGACTCCTCTGCTCCCATAGACGTCTATGAGGAAATGACTCTACTTCTCTGTAGTGACCAGCAGGGGGCGACTCCTCTGCTCCCATAGACGTCTATGAGGAAATGACTCTACTTCTCTCTTGATTTATTCCCTCAGTAAACATTGTAAACATGAGGATGATGTTCATTTAGTAAATTATGGTCCACCTAGAGTCAAAGAAAGCAGTATCCTTCAGGGCGGGGCTTACTGTGATTTTTCACCTTTTCTGTGTATTGTACATAAAAGTTACCTAAAACATTTTGGTTGCCTGACTAAAAACAATAACTTGGCGCAGATCGATAACTAACAACGGAAAACAAAGAAACATGGCAACGGTCGAAAAATGTCAAACTCAAGGCTCCAAAAGTTCAACAAAGGTCCCGGTGAGTGTTTTCCTCTTCGTGCTTATTGCTCTAAAATGAAGGCAGAAATAGCGTCTCTGCAGTGACAGCAACAGGGCGCACTGACTATGATATTGGACCATATATGATTTGTTCCAGAGACCTGCAGCGACTTCATAACCAGAATATTGTGATGCAATATTGGATGCTATTTTCAATGCTGATTGTTGTCTCATAGAAAAAATAAAGCTTTGGTACAGCAAGTCATTCATATTCATTGAAGCTTCTTTTTTCATGTAGAAGGAACATTTTCTGAGCATGTCTGAGTCAAACCCCCCCAACCCGGGTTTGACTCAGACATCGCGAGTCAGAGAGAGCCATGAAGAACTTATGAAGACTTAATCATCTTATCAGTGACTTGGTATTATTTCGTTCTATGCGATACGCTGGATATTCACTGAGGATTCGGCTGTTATTTGTCCTCCTAGGGACAAACTCACAGGATGACCACATGGAGAGTTTCACCACTGAGGAGTGTAATATTTGGTGTCTGAGTATTTCACGCTGTTCCTCACTGCACCAAAGCAGCTTCATCTTTTTGTTTCCCTTCTGCTTATTTTCCATATTGGAGCAGCCGTTGTTAGTTATTAAGTTGGCTATTGTCATCGGTTTGCAGAAATAATCATGCAGGAGTTTTAATGAAAATCCACTCTTTGAAAATCATTCAATGTCCTTTTCTTCATGGTAGCTCTGATAATTGTTACTAATATTTGGCACTAATATATTCTCACAGACAAGAACAGCATTAATAAAAAGGCTTGTTACAGTCCGACCAACAGTCCAAAACGCAAAGACCTTTAATTTACTATCTCTGATGGCAAAGGATGGCGACAGGCGTTTCCATTGGAGCTGAAGACGGGACATGTTTGGCTAAAGGATAAATGCCTCAAACAATGACTCAATTATCAAAAGAATTTGACTCCTTGTTGTTCTTCTCAGTTCAGACGTCTCCAGTTTCCTCCAAACAGGCCATTGATCACAATGAATATAGTCACCAATCGTGGACCAATAACGTGAATATACCCATGAGTCTGACTCCATTCCTGGACAAAAACATGTCCCAACCAACCCTCCCTCCCCCACACCCCCACTCTCATTACCCTGCAGAAGTGGTGAGGGGGGGGGCAAATATTTAGTAACACTAGACATTTCTGTTTGGAGTCTTGGCCAACCCAAGAGGCCGGCGTGGTCGGTGCAGCGCAGCGACGGGAGCATTTATCGTCCCTAACGAGCACCTGGGCCGAGCGTTACGGCCTAATGGAGCAGACCAAGAGGGGGTGGGGGGGGGGCAAACAGAAAGACAGCAAAGCAAACACGAGGAAGAAAAATGGGACGCGAAAAACGGGATGGGAGAGAGAAAAAACCAAAGGAGTGAAGCCTCGCTGTTATCCTGGCTACTGGGTGCATTATTATTCATGACTTCCCTGATGAATGGTTGTTTTTAGAATGTCACAGAATGTTAAAGTATATTCCCATTCACGTTTCCCAGAGCCATTGTTCTCTTGTTAGGTCAAAAATATTCAGTTCAATTCAGATTTAAAAAATGAAAGAAGCCAATCGACTTTTAAAATGCTAAAATTAGCGATTTTTTGACACAATATAATCCAGAAGCATTAATAAATGTGAAATGTACTATTTATAAATTGTTTAAATTTAATGTTACTAAAAAGCTGCAGTCTCATGTCTTTATGAGGGATTTTGGTTCGTCCCTTAAACTGCAGAGAGCAACATTGACTCTTTTTCTTGGAAGTCAAACCGACCAAATGGAACCAGGGTTCTGCTGGGTCCCGTTTCAGGGGAATGGCTTTTTAAGCGATGTGGCGTGGTCCTCTTGGAGTGAGCTACAGATTATTGTAAAAGACATGATTTATCCGAAAATAAGGACTATTTGAACACTGACTGTTCTGCTCCTCGTCTCCATGGGAAACAGTTAAGAAGGTTTTAAAGTCTGGTATTTGTGGTCTATTCCATATACAATTGAGCCCATTCTGACTCTCTCGGGAAATCATTCTGGGAACTGAGGAAACGTTTTATATCATTCAGTATTATTTCTACAACATTTTACATTAAAACCACCATCATATTAATGCTTGGAAGTATGGTTTATGAAACTGAAAACAAGGTCCGGGGATTATCTTGAGCAACATGTTTCCTAGAAAAGAGACTCAAACGCCTGTTAAACTGGACCCGGCTCAGCTGGCATAATAAAGTGACACCTGTAAGTGGATTTAGTGTAAAGTTACTCTTCAAGGCCGCAGCTCGTGGCCTTGAAGCTTTGACGTATTAAGAACAAAGTGTAGGAGCCCTGTGCAGAGCCGTGGAAAGGATTCTCTGAGGTCTACGTCAAGTTATAATTATGAGCAACGCTAAGACTCTGAGAGCTGTGAGAATGAAGGATTAAACGTGATAGAAGAGATGGTCGGATCTATGCACTGATGCACTTTATCTGAGCTCTGGGGTCGAGGAGACCTTCATCTGAGCCGCAGGAGGGGAACGAGTCTGAACCAAAACCAGCAGAGGAATTACAGCCCGGAGGAGAGGAGCTGTCCTTTCAGCACCACCTCTCTACCTCTCTCTCTCTGTGTCTCTGCCCTGCTCTCTCTCCTCGATTACCCTTCTCCTCCTGTCCCTTCCTGTCCTCCAACACACACATCCACGTTACACTCATTCATCTCCTACAAAAGGTCGGGCCGAGATAGAGGCCCGGCTTAGAGGACAACCCGGAATAATGACTCTAAATAACCGACCCAGACACCTTAAAAGAACAGTTGGGCAGAAATAAGAGAATTAACTCATTCACGGATTGTTTTTATAAGCCTGCTAATCCCGTCGCTGTCATTGACAGGAATGCCAGCATCATCTGAAAACAACACAGAAAAGCTTCTCACTGTCCCCGAAGGATTATGTCTCCCTGCACTGTCCTCAAAACCAACGAGAAAAATCTTTAATTCAGCTCAATTTGTCATCAATAGGAATACTAATACTTTTTACGAAGGAGCTGCATCCAACTGGCTGATGTTTGAAGGGTGCGTTTCCCTTGTTGATCTTTGGAACTCAAGAATGTTCAGTGTGCACACAAAGTGTCGACACACACAGACACACACAGATCTCTAGCCAGTGATGGATGTGATCTGCAGGTACCGGGCCCACTGAACCCTTCAGTCACACACCACCCGCAGTTCCAACAGCCCCCCCACTCCAAAAAAACATGACACATATCTCGGGGGCTCGCACTACAGGCGGTGCTCCGCTGCAGCATTATTGCTTGTGCGTGAGGAGAGGTGGTGCAGGCCGCCCACTGGAACGCGGGGTTACATAAGAACCGACGCTGGAGCCGGGGAATAAGTCACGAGAGCGCCATGAGTTGTGTCTGTGTTGAGGAAGCCCCCCCCCCTCCCTACCCCCCCTTACCTGGAAGAGGCGCAGTATGTTGGCCACCATGATGGACACCGAGCTGGCGGACGCGCCCACGACCCCGACAACTTTCTCGGGCTTGACGAACATCGGCGGCTCCCCGTTGGTGCACCTCACGTCCGACGTGTCCTTCTGGATGAGCGCCTGCACGAAAGTCAGCGACTGCTCCAGCGCGTACGTGTCCCGGGAACAGGTGTCCAGGATCCGGGCGCCCAGGGTGACGTTGGGCAGCAGATCCTCGTCGCCGTTGATCTGGTCCAGTGCGTACATCATCGCCTCCAGCCGGGTGGATGCCGTTTCTCTTTTGATGTCCCCGCCAGGAATTCCGGGGACCCCCCTGGCGTGGACGGGGAAGAGCCCCCCCAGCGTCACGTCGCCCTCCACCCGGATCGAGTGCGGCGCGTAAATCTCCTGGGAACCGGCCAGGTCCAGGAAAGCGTGAATCATCCACAACACCCGGAACGTAAAACCCGGTGGTAGATGGGGGGCCGAGTGTCTGGCCATTATTGGATCCGTGTCCCTCCCCGAGAACGAAGCAACTCCGTTAACAGACAGAAAACAAGTAGAACCACCGCGAGGTGCACAGACACTTTTCTAGGACACTTTTACGAATTCATTCACAAGCGAGAACATTGCTGTGATTTTCCCAGCAGAGAATGAAAGCCGATGGGGGGTGTGGGGAATCTGGGGGAGGGAGGTAGATTAATCCCGCAGGTGCAGCCTTTTATACCCACACACACACATACAATCCAACCTCTGCGCCTCGCTCCCCGATGCGTAATCCGCTAAGTGTGCGCAGAGTTGCTGCCGCACGCAGCCACGGTCGCTTGTTGCTCCGGAGCTCATTCCGGGGCTTCAGATGAGGACACCGCCAGAAGGTGGATGTTCATGAACGCCAGCGAGAAGGTAAAATGAGCACCCCGCGCACGCTCATCCCGCCATTCCGTCTTGGACGCGCGAGGAAGAAAAACAAATGGCACGCGTTCGGCACTGATGTCATACTTAAGGAAGCACAACAGAGATGGATGTGGTCACACGTGCAGTAAACATCATCAGGAGATCTGACCGTCCGATGGAAGAAGAAGAAGCGGGAGAGCAGAAGCTGCGCGCATCGGCTCGAGCGCGAGAAATGAACTGCGCCGAGCGTCTGTGACACGGACCCCCTCACCCCCCCCTCACTCCCTCACCCCCTCAGCAGCCGGGGGCCAACAGCAGCAGGCCGTGGGAGGCCAGATGTTGCGCGCAGGAGGAGAAGAAGAAAAGAGTTGTATTGCAGTTGAATCTCCTCTCTCTCCCTCTCCCTCTCCCTCTCTCTCTCTCCCTCTCTCCCTCTCTCCCTCTCTCTCTCTCCCTCCTGCACGTTCGTGCAATTATCAAAGGTGCGGAACATTTTTACACAGACAAAAAAACACACCCATTTTATTGTTTTCGTATTAAAGCCTGTCGTTATGATGAATGACTGCGTTCATAATCCTTTGTTCAAAAATGGAATAAATCCATTGTGCTGTTTCCAGCTGGGACTGGTTAGAGGTGGGACTGGTTTCCAGCAAGCTGAGTCCTACTGAGCTCAGTCACATCGAGTCAGCACATCACTTCTGTTGGTGGATCAGGTGGTTCTTTAACCGCGAGTCGTGCAGCAACACACAGGAGATGTTTCCAACACCTCTGATTCCTGTTGACACCTTTCTGATCCGCTGTCTTTACCAATGCAACACTTCCTGGCCCCGGGTTCACCTCAGAGGAGAGGACATCTGGAAGACTGACTGAGAAAAGCTCAGGGAACATTTCTGTGTTATCGAGAGTGAGCGGGTCAAGCGCTGAAGGACGCTTGTTGGGCCGAAACCATTTGATAAAGCGATGTAACGTTCCTCGCAGAGCTTGAGAAAAATGTTTCTCATTCGATGTTATAGGAAAATGCCATAAGTGCAAATGTGTTACTACATTACTAGGTAATTGTATTGGATTTCAGTTGCTGAAATGAGCTTTCAGACAGAATGTAATGAACCCCTCACTTGAACAGCCACTGCTGCAGGTCGCTCATAACGCTGAAAGCCGCCCCGGCAAAAACAGGCAAACGACAGGTCACATGTTTGATACCAGACAGTCCATCATACTACATTTTGTCCTGGAGCGGTTCACCTGGCCGCTCGCAGGTTTGTTACAAGGCCCTTCACGATGATTCTTTCTCCTGAAATAAGGTGACACACGATCATGATGACACCAAGTGATATGTAGCATCATTCATTCTGAATTTGACGGGAGGGAGCAGGTGGGCGTGGGGATGGTCAGGTGGCTTTTACTGGAGGGAGCAGGTGGGCGTGGGGATGGTCAGGTGGCTTTTACTGGAGGGAGCAGGTGGGCGTGGGGATGGTCAGGTGAATTTGACTGAAGGGAGCAGGTGGGCGTGGGGATGGTCAGGTGACTTTGACGGGAGGGAGCAGGTGGGCGTGGTGATGGTCAGGTGACTTTTACTGGAGGGAGCAGGTGGGCGTGGTGATGGTCAGGTGACTTTTACTGGAGGGAGCAGGTGGGCGTGGTGATGGTCAGGTGACTTTTACTGGAGGGAGCAGGTGGGCGTGGTGATGGTCAGGTGACTTTGACTGAAGGGAGCAGGTGGGCGTGGGGATGGTCAGGTGAATTTGACTGAAGGGAGCAGGTGGGCGTGGGGATGGTCAGGTGAATTTGACTGGAGGGAGCAGGTGGGCGTGGTGATGGTCAGGTGGCTTTTACTGGAGGGAGCAGGTGGGCGTGGTGATGGTCAGGTGACTTTGACGGGAGGGAGCAGGTGGGCGTGGTGATGGTCAGGTGAATTTGACTGAAGGGAGCAGGTGGGCGTGGGGATGATCAGGTGACTTTGACGGGAGGGAGCAGGTGGGCGTGGGGATGGGCAGCAGGCAGGTTAGGCCGGGGCGGCGTTGGCTTGTCAGGTGGCGAATGGCAGAACAGTGTAGACGCTACACCAGCTAAACATCAGCATGTTAGCATAGCATTCTGGTCGTCTTGCTCTCATGCGTTTTTTCGTATGGTCTCTAAATACTTAAAATGACTCATTGCCGGTTGGTTCCCTTTCTTTTCATTCTGTGGCTCCACACTGTTCCTGCTTCTATACCACCTCTTATATCTCACGACAGCGGAGTCTAAACATAATGGATTACTCTGTAGCATCTCTATATTTTCTTTGTGTCTTTAGTCTCCAACCCCTGGTTGAAGTCATTTGTCACGGTTTAGCCGCCAGCAAAACGTAAAGATAATTGCATTCATCCCGCTAACCGTGGCACACATCTGAGCTCGCTCATACTCCTTTCTGCATTTAATCACAGCCTACTGGTAAAATTTCTGTATCAATGAAAGGTCAAGGAAGCTCTAGGAAGCGGTGGCTTCTCACTGAGTACAATTTAATGCATAACTTTAGTCTGAATAAAGAGCCCTCAAAGTGTGATTATAGCTGTAACCTGATCAGTGAGCTGACATTTAACATGTGTAAAATGAGAAATAACTCTAATTAATCACCAACACACGTCTGAAGGTACACGCAGCAGCTCCGTTGGCAGAGCTCCCCTGTAACCAGATGGCAGAAGCAGCGACTGTAGTGCTGTTGGAGTGGAGCCACCAGCGACTTCCTATCTCATCTTCCAGGGGTAAATGCTCCCCAACGTAATCAAACATGCAGCATTGTGTCGGCTCTATCTGTAAAATCTCTGTTTATGGCTCGTTTCTCTTCAGAACCAGAGCCTCGGATGGTTCTTTACCTGTGGGGCCAAAAAGTGTCGAGGAGGTGAAGTGCTGCAATGGCATCAACAAAATGTAAATCTGTGCTCTCGCCTTGTGTTCAAACAGATGGAACGCATGCAGCAGCGGAGGAAACACTCAGAGCTTTAATCCAGTCAAGTACAAATACAAGAGTGGAAAAAAAAGAAAATCGTACATCAGCATCACGTTGTTGGAGAACCAGCGGTATAAAAGCACTCGGTGCACATTTATCAGCAGTGAGAGAAGAACACGAGTTTTATCTGATTTGTGTCGTTAAAGTATCCGCAATACAAATACACACATGTAAAATTCCAAAAAATGTTTTTTGCTTTTTGTACATTTCCAGCAGGCAGGCTGGAGGACAAAGGGACGCTTTTAAGACACTCACAAGTCCTGAGGTTTATTTATTTCGTTATTTATTTATTACTCTTGGCTGAGATGTGGATCAGATGTTCATACAGATGTGGACCTCTTTGCTGGGGCCTTGTGTTCACGACGCACTTCGCCCCTCAGGGACCAAATGTCCAAAGGAAAAGGGCTTGTTAGCCGCTAGAGGTTGTTTCTCTACTAAATTCATGCTTGACGGATATTGAGTTTTCTGTTGCTTTAATGTGATTCGGTTAAATTAATTATCAATAATTGAGAAAGGATTATTCTTGGAACTGGTTCTGCTCTACTTGATGTATTTGTTCACTTTTGAACCGCCAGAGAAGCAAGCTAAACGGTGCCAGTTAGCTTGCTAACCTTTGCTAATTAGCACTAAACAATGAGTGCAGCTGATGCTGATGGGAATATCATCAGTTACTTTAGAAACATGTAGGTGTGTATTAGATAGATGATAATGTTCAGCGTCAAAAGACAAAAAAATCCGTCAAGCAGGTGAAATACGTCAGTGAATAAGCGGAGATAAGACGACAGGGCGACATGAGTCCATCCTCTGGGGACGTTGCATATCTGTAGCCTTTCCATGTCCATTCCTCTGAACCACCTCTTGGTGGTAAAAAAGCAAGTAACCAGTTTTATTTATCGTCGGACGACTATTGGAATCAAAGCTAGACAGTGAAAGTCGTGCCAGTATTTATTATGTGTGTGTTTATTAACACACCATCGTGTGCCTGGGATCTATTTCTCTTGCAGACATTCTTCCCTCTCTCGAGTTTCCCCACGATGCAAACTTGTAATCGACCTTGTCGGCGCGCTGACGCATCGAGTCGACCTCAAACAGCCGGAGCAGACAAGAGGCCGACTGATCAAACGCTTCGCGCCGCCACAGATTACCCCGTATTACCTCACGACTTCAGTCAGAAGTTGCACTCCATCACATCACAAAGACATCATCTGACGAGGAGCTGACGGCCGGCATCCTGCGTTCGTCAGACTAAAGTTGCCCTCAAAGCTGCTTTGGGTGGAGCTGGTTTTAAACGCTTTATGTGAGTCCGGAGGAGTCGAGAGATGATTCATTGGAAAGGGCGGGAGAAGAGTTCTTACATAAACATCTGTATTCACGTGCTGGACTTCTTCGTATTCTTTGATCTTTAGTGATGTATCGATCACTGGGACGGTTCCTGAAATGAAAAAAGACATGAGAAGGTGAGGAGAAAGTTTATTAATTCATTGTGAAACATGACGAGAAGACAGAACGACGCTGCTTTTAAAGCCTGAGACGCTCAGGTTTACCAACAGTAGAGCAGCAGAGGTGATGACGAGACGACAGGAGGCAGCAGTTAAACAAAAAGAAGAAAAAGAAACAGACGCTTGGAAGCTGTTCATGAAACAAGGCTTTTAATATGTGGATCAAGCAGAACAGCTGGATCTCTTATGTACGTGTAGCACCAGACCCGTTCTGGAGACTCATCTCGATTTCTTTCACGATCGCCACAGCGAGCAAAGCTGCGGTTTAAGACTTTTAGAAGCGCAACCTTATTGATTCTCAGACATCCTGCTGGTCCACCTCGACCCTTTGAAACACGATGGAGCTTCAAAGCTGAGATGTAAGATATATTTAAGACACAAGTCTCCCCAACCCTTAGCGTGACAGAAAGTCACATGACAGGATGCGAGAAGCAGCGTGAACGTGAGGCCGTCAGTCGAGTCCTGAACCATTTTGAGACCGACCCCCTGGACTCACCTCAGGAGCTCTGGACACGGACACCTCGTGGGAATAGTTTGTGAGGATGTGTTGGTTTGCTTATTTTTCTTCGTTCTCTTAAATAAATAAAAGCTTCTGTTGTTGATTCATGGTGACAATCACCAACAAACCAGCAGCTGGAGTGCAACAGGACGGCGAGGCTGTATTGATTGATACTTTACAGCGCCGATGAATATTTCATAGTTGTGTAGCCTATCGGCGTTTCACGGCTCACGGACAACATCGTGAATAATGGAGGCGTGCAGGCCGAGCCTCTTCATGTCCGCCCGTATGCATTCATCACAGAAACAAACAACACGGGAGGAGCGAAGGAGGCCGACAGGGACGGGGTTGCGTGGACAAAAACGGAGCTGATGGATCTCTGTGCTTGGCGGGGTCAAAGGTCAGCGTAAACATTGATTTCCCCTCCGCAGTACGGACCCTGCGGGAGGCTGCGTCTGTGTCTCCGGTGCAGGAGTCAAGAAGGACGCCCGCGTCCGAGAGGGAGAACGTCATCATGTCTGAGTGGGCGATGAACGAGAGATTTAAACCATCATTTCTTCTCCTGAAACACGGATGTTTCTGCAGAGGGATTCAGGGCAACTGAGCGGAGACAGAAAAGTGTAGCTTTGGATTTGAATAAAAGCTCTTTTACACAAGCGCGACACACGGGATCAGTGTCATGGTCCAACATGGTCCATCATGGTGCTCCGGGGAGGAGATAACATCAGTACGTATTCATATGGCCGCATAAGAACTGCTTTAGTGCTCAAATAAAAGTTGATGTTTTCAGCAACTCCAGGTGAGGAAAACAAGTCAACCCTTAAAGCCTCACATCTGTCAGAGGACACATGTGGAGCTCATACACGGCGGAGACGGACGTAGAAGACGCAATTTATTCATTAATTTTCTGCTCCGCAGCAACAAGAAGAAAATAGGCAGCGCTGAAAACAGGAGCTTTTTTTTTATATTGGTATTTTAACCCGAGACAGGATTAACACCCAAAGTGTCCAAGCGATGACCTCACCTTCACTCCCTGTGTAGAACCCTGGAAACCGTTAACGTCCAGCTGTGCGCGGGTATCAGGGCAGCCCAGTTGTGCCCCCTGGGCAATGCTCTCACTTAGGAGAACAGGAATTACCCCCAAAAACCACTGGAAGAAACCACTTTATCAGTTTGTAAAGTGTAGTTTGATCCAACATTATTTAAAACATTTAAACAAACATCTGATTTTAACCATTGGGTTCATCCACTGGAGACAAACCACTTCCAAATAATCTCTCCCCAAAGGCCAAAATTAATCTTCTGTTACTGCTCATGCGTATCAAAGTACTTTTTATTGCTGTGCACATAATGCCTCATTAATCTTATTTTTTTCACCCAGCTCACAAATTGCCAGTACTTAATCAAGAGAGGAGAACAATGATATCAGAGTGGAAAGTAACTAAGTATATTTACTCCACATTTTATGCCACTTTATAATCTCCTGCATGAGATTCCAGGTGCAAACATTGTCATTTATAAAATACAACCCATTGTTAGATCCTGAACCACTCACCTTTTTGTCTCCCGTATTTCTCTATGACATCTGTCTCTTTTACTCCTGGTTGAGATTTCTCTGTGTCGTTATCGGTTCCTGCAGAGAAACATTTATTCCCCAAACTCCTCGTCTGGTGTAATTTAAACAAAATATGAACCAAACCGCCCGTCAACACGTCTTCACGGGACACCTTGCGTCTCTCTGCCCTCATGAGATCATCGGTTGCCGACGCGACGATGGATTTAACTCACTGCGCCGTTCTTCATAACAGCCTCAAGAGAAATACGTCAAAGTAAATTGAAAGACGGATTTTTCTAGGAGGACTCGTCTGCGAGGAGCAGCAAAGTGTCGCTTCAAACTGTTACAGTTTTCGGTCTAATTGGTCCTTTACAACGAATAAAGCACTGAAGCACAAATCTCAGGCTTCCGCGTGGGACTCCGGCACGGCCTCAGCAGGGAGTCCTTGTAGTGGCTAATGTAGGACAAGTGCTCCTGGACATGCGAGTCCTTGTGCAGTGAGACTGTTAAAGCTGTAAAAATGTGCTTTAAAAGAAATCCTGGTGTGTGTTGATTATAATGATCAAGTTTACAGATTAAAGACCCCCAAAACCTTACAAACGATATGCAAACAACCTCAGACACAGAAAAGGACGAAGCAAGAGGGACTCCAAGTAGTAGTAGAAAGACAAAGACAATGAACGACTACCGAGAGACAAATAATCACTGCAAAGAGACACAGAAAAGAACAACAAAAAGACAAAGAATGACTACAAATAGACACATTGTGGCCACAAAGAGACAATGAGTCACTACGAAGAGACATATAATGACTACAAAGAGACACAGAATGGCCGCGCAGACAGATGCATGACAACACTAAAGCAAAGCACAGAGGAGACTGAACAATAACCACAGTTTTTCTTTCTCCTCCGTACGTGAGCTCCTGTGTCTCCTAATCGAGCCGTGACTGGAAACCACATCTGCAGGATGGATTACCGTGGAATCAGGCCGGATGGATTCCACGGAACAGAATGAGCTCCTGACGCTCCGTTGGTCACTTAAGAGAAAACATCTTATTGTAGAGGAACACGATCTGGATGAATCCTAGCGGCTTTACCTTAAAGACGTTTCTATCCATCACATCAGGTCCACGTGTTCTCTGGGTTCAACACGGAATCAGCTGCACTCCAACCAGCCACTGGAGATAAACCCTGGTCACCAGCACTTTACAGTAAACAGGCGACCGGTGCAGAAGAGCTGCAGTTTCCAGCTGGTTACACCCGACGGGGGGCCTGTATCCACATGCATGAGCGGAACACAAGGAAAGAGCAATTAACATAAATAGCTCGGGTACACGCTCAGCCTGAACTAGCTGACTTCACTGGAACATTGAGCGGAAGCCCGTTGCCTCAAAGCATTTAAGTTTGTACACATGGAAGAACTCACGTTGTGTTCACACATTATTAATATACAAAGCCAAGGACAAGAAATGAACGTTCACACTTTTTGATCAGCTAGAGACGGATGATTCCAGGTTCTTTTCCGCTATCGGGCCGAACGCCATGCACTGTAAAGTACACATTTCAAGTTTAAATGATACTACTACTATAGTATTTAAGTATTATTTGCAAAGTAGTCCTGGAAAACTACACATAAACGTCCCTGCTTGAGTTCTTTAATTAGCCTTCCCCAAACACATAAAGGGACCAGTATCCCACCGTCATACCTTATCAAATACCTCATAGTACATTAACATTTAGTCCACTGTAAACCGTGACAAGCCGTTAACAGGCCACGCCCCTCCGAGCGTAACACACCAAGTCGTCTCTGCCAAACATTGCCGTCAATGTTTCAAAATAAAAGCATAAGTAATGACCCCTCAGTAGTTTCATTTGAACTAAATTGGGCTTCAGTGGCTGAATGTGCGTATGATGGTTTAATATGAGTCTCTCAGCATCGCTGCCCAACAGTCGTTGTCAAGGGTCTGACTTTTGTGAGGTTCAAACTGCAGACTGGATTCCACTCAATGACCAAGATCCGGACTTCTTTGCTTTCTTGGTTTTTATTTTTTATATTGTCCAGGTCAAACCAGGTGAAAAACCTGGAAATACAAACACAAATAGAAGGTCAAAGAAATATAACCCAAGAAACCAGAATCAAGTCACATACCCAACATCACATACTTGATTTATAATCTACTGGAAATTAAGCAGCTTTTAACTCTGGTGAATACACACAAATTAATTTGATCCAATTACTTTTAGCTTGAATACTTTTTAAAACACACATTTCATTAAATATATAACATTTTATCTTGCATTTGATGCCATAATTAGTCGACCACTCAAAAGCTCACCGGCTCCTTCTTCAGTCTTTGCAAGCTTTATTCCTGCAGTCTCCTCTTTCCAAGCTCTTCAATGTCGCTTTCTCACACTGCTCGCTCTTCACTGTCCTGTGAGTGAGTGACTCTCCAGATCATCTCCACCTGGTGCATTCAATTCTCCGCCCCCCGGCCTGGGAGACACACCTACACCTGCCTCTCAGCCAGAGAGGGGCTCGGCCTGCAGCTCAACTCAACAGTCATAATTCAAATGGAACTGTTAGAAGAAGGGGGGATTTCAAGTGCCAATCACTGCTGCCCTCTGCATTATTGCACATAATTATATGGATAATATTCAACCTCGTCCTACTCTCTGGATTTCAGCTGGAAGAGAGAAAGCAAGAGTTGTACAAACAGAAGATATGAAGAGAACACTGAATGATGAAGGCGATTCGAGGGAAAAGCCATGAATTGCTTCCCAATAAAACCAACCTAAACAATCCGTGTCGCTGCTTATCCACGTCCGAGACTCACGGGGTAACGCAGAACTCGTTACTGTGGCGCCCAACGTGGGACGGGTAGATGGAGCACCGAGACCACTAACCGGAGGGGCCGTGCCAGCCGATTGTGGTGCTCGGACCGATGCTGGAGGGATGGTGGCGATGTAGAGGGTCCTGGAGGAGCTCCAGGTCCAGGCTGAGAGGCCGGGCCCCCTCCGCGCTTACAGGGGTGGCCCTGCACCGGATGGCGACAGGGGACGACGCCCAGTACAGGAGCGACGTACCGTGTTTTGGTAAGAATCCAGGTGGGTACACACCAGGCGATGGTGGACTGGATCAGTACGCAGTCTATGATACACCAGCGGATATCGCTTTGTGTTGGTCCTTGTGGATTGAACGGTATCCGGAGGCGCAGCCAGATTCAGCTTTATGTTAGTAGTAATAATTTAATACCACTTCATGAAACGACCAAACGTCTCCTCAGTCAAACTTTTAGAAAATCCACTCCTTCAGCGTCACCTTTCAAAATAAAAGCATTTTAGATTAAAACGCGTGAGTCTGTAGTTTTGAAAGTAGTGTGCGAAGTCATCGGTGTGCGTAGAGCAAACGATGAAGACCACCAGACCACCAAACCTCTGCTGCCAGGTAGAAGCTGCAGCACACCAGCTGCTTCTGGATGGGTAATATAACAGTTGCATTTTGGGTAGTGGTTTTAATAGGAAGAAGAATGTGTTAAATAACGTACTCAATATCTGAACCAGTATCTCTCACCAGAGGTCCACGCTGAATCAGTGGAGTACTTCTCTAGAAATGGTAGAATCAAGAACACTACATGTTGAATACGGCACCGCCGGTTATTGTAAAACCTCATCAGGGATCTTCAGTTGGCCAAACGACGTGAGACTGGCTTCTCCATGTCGTATATCTGGATACTGTTATATCTCCCTTCCCTCCTGCCCCACTGCCCCATTAAAAGAAGGAGGTCATAGAAAATAAGAAAAGTGACATTCATTCATTTTCGTCACGCAGAATCCTCGTCACCAAAAAACCAAAAGGTGTGCGTTCACTGTTTGCATCGCTTTATCCATAAAAACAAGTATTTACGATCACTGTCTGCGTGTGGAAACAAAGAGCGAATCAGATACCTCTTAAATATTTATGCCTCGTTCGCTGGAAGCAACTGTTCCACAATCTGTTCTCTGCAATTAAAGGATGTGTTTTTGTGATTATCTCAAAACATCGTCGGTAGGTGAACACTGGATAGTCGTTGGAGGACACGACTAACGGGGCGCTTGTCTCCTCTCATTAGATGCAATCATATTTTAATCTACACAACGTGCTCTCAATCTGAACGGCTTTTTACACAAACATGAAGTTTGTAGGTTCCCTCAACAAAGACGCATTTCCAGCTTCCCGCCCTGACGCATCATTTTGTGGGACACCGTTAAAACCGGTACTGGCGTGTTCCAGTGGTGTGCCGCGGCGTGAGGCGTGTTCCGCTGCACATGCACGCGGTTCTTCACACAAAGGACTTCTCGGCCACCGGGGGGGGCAACTAGCGCGGGTTGATGTGCTCGTCCTGTGGTTCGATTCACGAGGAGTCCGCGTGTTTCTGTCTAAGCTCAGCGCCTCCTGAGGGAACATCGGCCTCTTCAGCTGCTAAATGCTCCACTTTGCTCGGCGACAGTCTCTGCTGGGGTCCTTCTGCTGGGCGCCGGTCGGGTTTCTTCTGCTCTGAAGGAGAACCAGAGCGGTGACGTTGTGTCCTCCACTGATAAACAATGACTTGAAAGTGGCTTCAAAGCTCCTTAAAGCTAAAGCTGCAGATCAAAAGGCTCTTTTCTGATTAAACCAATTCAATGACACTCGGCAGTCGACAGTTTGCCTTCTTGTGTGAAGCACAGCGACTCTCAATCGTTCCAACAATTGTTAAAACCACGTCAGTCGGACCCAAAGGGCCCCAACACACACACACACACACACACATTGACCACAACAGGGAGATTACGGCTGCTTTCATGGCAAGATGTGAGTCCGTTGAAGCATTTCTCCCTCTTTACGTGTCCGTCCTTATTATTTCCTTCCTCTTACCTCTCGCTGCAGTTTTTATTTACCCGACCCAGCGATCCGGAGTCCCTCCATCAGCCGGATCACACAGCGGAGAGCGGCACCGCCGGCTCCTCTTTGGACCGCTCTCATTGTGCACTCTTGGCCCGAAGCACTGAACCCGAACAGACTTTTATTGATATCACCTGCGTGCTCAGCGTAAATGTGCGGCGTAAAGGCTCAGAAACGCCGTATGAGGAATGGGAGGGCGCTCCGCGACATCAATAATGTTGCTTTTGGCCGAGGCCACTAAAAGTGAGGCTGCGTGTAATTGCATAGCTGGCCGTCGCACTTCATAAGAAAAATAGTCACTTTGTCAAGTGATACAAGTGTCAGCATGAAGCATCGCAGCACAAAGTGCATGATAGCGAGCTGCAGTGTGTTATGCAGCATCTTACCACTCATGCGTTCACGTTTCACCCCTGATGTTAAACCCCCTCTCGTACATTGAGGATTTCACAGTAGAAACCCAGTGAACAGGAACATCAGTCACTGTGTTCACTCGGTGCTCTGCACCCCTACGTTTGCACAGAGCAAACCTGTGACACCCGCCGATACCGCGCACCACCATGACGATACCACTCAATGTAAAAGTCTCATGCATTTTCATATCAGCACATAGAATGCTGCCATAATAGAGGTGCTGGACTGCAGAAAGATTGCAGGTCCTTTTCTATCACACGCAGGTCTATGAGCCACATGAATACGTGGATTTGAACAAGACTTGAAGTTGTGATGTCACAACCTCACAGCCAATAGCAGAAGTGATAAGAGGACACGCCCCCCGAGCGGCGGCAGTGGGAAACATGTTTATTCTGCTCTCAAAGCGAATTGTAGCCGTATTGTAACTTTATGGAGAATATTCCGGAATGATTAAGTCATTGCTTTTTTACAGGGATTTGGTTTTAATAGCAAATGACTCTTAATACAAAAGACATTTATTGAGGTTTAGCCTGAAAGATAAAGGTTTGAATAGAAAAGTAATCAGTGAAATCCAGCTTGTTCCGTCAATCTGAAGAAAGGTGTTTATCGCTACTCTTCATCAGAGGACATGAAATGATTCATTTTGAAGAAGCAACCACACAATTGGCTGTACTGGTCTCCTGAAGGCCTCCTGAAGATATTCAACTGAAATGATGGAGGCTTTGAGGAGCTTTTCGTGTTGCCGTTATCCTTCGAGGACACGGAGGTGTCACCTCGGGGCCTCCAGCCTAAATCCACAGGTACACCACCTGTTCCCCAATAAAAAAGCCTCTTCTGATCTCGTAGTCTGGTGAAGGTTCAGTTATTCTCATTTCATATACATGTTTATAATACACATAATTATGGACGATACTTCGTTCACTGAGCTTTTGATTGAGGGGAACATGCTGGTCCTGTAACATAAACCGCACCGTGTTAAAACAGGAAGTGATCGGTGGTCTTAAAGGACTGACGCCATGGTTTCGTTGTAACCCTAAACTCCTTGGTGAAGCCCCCTTCTAAGTTCTGTGTTTGCGTGACCCGACGGTCCATGAAAGCCTCGGGCTTTGACACTCTGGTACCGAGCACTGGAATTGGAATGTACGGACTTTCCTCAAGGCGACATCCCCCTTCCTGCGTCCAGGCGGACGGCTGTTCCCTCGGGGCCTTCGTGCTGACAAACACACCCAGGGGGGGGCGACGGTCCTCACCGCCAAGCGACGCAGGTTGGTCGCACACGGCGCCGCATCCGCGCCGACCAATTACCGGAATGTAAACGAAAGCGGGCCCAGCCGAGGATGAGACCACATTGTTTTGATGGGAGTTCATGTTTGAAAAGACGCTGCGCATGAGGCGCCCGGATGCTGAACCGAGGGGCGGGACGAACAACAAATCATCATCACGACGAGTGAAGCGCGTTCACGGCCACTTTGGAACCAACGGGGAAGCATCACTCTGATGAAGAGGCCACCACACAGAGGGAGGAGACCAGCAGGAAGACTTATATTCATATTACTGCCACAGCTTTCCAATGAATCGCTGGCAAATGTTGCTTGAGGAATTGTGATGTAATAACTCGAAATAGTCCAGGAAAACTAATTATTTAACTTTTCAGTCAGTCGTTGACTTCCCCTTGTTTGTTTTGGATCAATATTTCTCAGGTGTGACGCACTGAAGTCGATCCGG